TGAATGGTAGATCTCTGTCAGTCTGTCTCTGAATCTTTCTTTCAAGTAAAGAAATAGATACATACAACTCCCCACAATTAAAAAAAGGGGGGACTCCTAGGGAGACAAGAGTAATTGTAATGGCTCTGGGACTTGACTTGGGCCCATGCCCAAGAGCAAAACCTGGAATCATAGAATGCTTTGAATAATTATAAATATGTCATGGTTCTTTACACAGATGTGGAAATAATTTTATTTTTCAATTCCATCAGTTATATATCTTTGTAATTGTGAAGTGCCTTATTAATCTCTGGTCCAAATTAGAAAATATGGCTTATACTTCCATATATTCATCAACTTAGCTAAGCCTTACTTTTACCAAAATTTAATCATATGCATTTAATCATTTATTCATCATTTTAAAACATCTTATTTATATAAAAAGAACAAATTCTATTTCCCTTTCTCCTCCTCCCACACTTTTCTTTTAATTTTTACAATGACATATTTTCAATTTACTTATTCTTTTAAAAACATTATTAATATGATTTTGGAACTTATTTTCTGGTTTGACACAAACAATATTGTGAAAATAATAAAAATAAAACTTCATTTAGACATTTTTAATAGATTTGTATGATTTTGTTTCGTTAAGGAAATACCTGTAGATTTATACTTAAAAGAAGAAAAACTTCTCATTAAGGCAGTTGCTCTGGTATCACTAACCTTGAATTTAAGAGGTGGGAAGGCTTCCTTATTAAAGTTCTTGAGGACAGAGAAGGTTAAACATCCCACACTTCAGCTGTTTATGTAAATACTGGTTGTTATACTTGAAAAGTATTGGATATCTTCTAGAAGGAATTTCATATCCCTTAAATAGTGGGCTTAATTTGAAAAATATTTGATTCCTCTTGTGTAGCTTTTTTAGTGACTCCACAGTAGTTGAGCTTTTCATTACTGTTACTATTCATAAACTAATTGTGGGGTGGGCATTCAGTGTGGTGGCTAAGTCACAGCTTCAGATGGCCACATCCCTAATCAGAGTGCCTGGCCCAAGTCTTGTTCCTGGCTCCTCTGATGTTGATTCAGCTTCCTGCAAACATTAGCTCTGGGAGGCAATGGATGATGGCTCAAGTGCTTAGGTCATTGACACTCATGTGTAGGACCAGGATGGAGTCCCTGGCTCCTGGCCTCAGCCTGGCCCAGCCCCTCTGTTGTGGGCATCTGGGGAGTGAGCCAGTAGATAAAAATGGATCTTTCTCTGTCTCTCTCTCTCTCTCTCTCTTTTTTTTTTTTTTTTGGACAGGCAGAGTTAGAGAGAGAGAGACAAAGAAAGATTGGTTCTTTCTTTGTTGGTTCACCCCCCAAATGGCTGCTAAGGCTGGCACACTGCCCCGATCCAAAGCCAGGAGCCAGGTGCTTCTTCTGGTCTCCCATGCTGGTGCAGGGCTCAAGGATTTGGGCCATCCTCCACTGCCTTCCTGGGCCACAGCAGAGAGCTGGACTGGAAGAGGGGCAACCAGGACAGAATCCAGCGCCCCGAATGGGACTAGAACCCGGGGTGCTGGTGCTGTAGACGGAGGATTATCCTAGTGAGCCGCAGTGCCGGCCTGGCCCCTGGATTTCAATTTTTGTAATAAAAACTTTTTAACACAAATTTTCACAAACTTTAGTATTTTTATTTATTTATGTTAATTTTATATGAAAGGCAGAGAGACAGATCTTCCATCTACTGGTTCACTTTCCCAATGCTCACAATAGCTGGGGCTTGCCCAGACTGAATCAAGGAGCTCAGAACTCCATCCTGGTCTCCCAAGAAGTTGGCAAGGACCCAAGTACTTGAGCAATCACCTATTTCAAGATTGAGTTTTAATATTTGAATTTGAAATATTAATAAGTAATGGAAATGCAAGTACTACACAAAGTAGCAATCCATTTATATACAGTTACATCTGTGCTTATTAATATTAATTGTCTCCTTTGGATAGAAACTTTTTTAAAAGATTTATTTTATTTATTTATTTATTTGAAAGAATAGAGAGGTGCAGTTCACTCCCCAAATGGCCACAACAGCCAAAGCTGAGCTGATCCAGAGCCAGGAGCTTCTTCCAGTTTTCCCACTTGGGTTTAGGGGCGCAAGGACTTGGACCATCTTCCACTGCCTTCCCAGGCCATAACAGAGAGCTGGATCAGAAGTGGAGCAGCCAGGACTTGAACCAGTGCCCATATGGGATGCCAGCACTGCAGGCCAAGGCTTTAACCCACAGTGCCATAGTGTCAGTCCCTTACAGAAACATTTTAATCTGCACACTAAAGATGTTTAACAAGTTGTTTGATGAGAAACATCTTTCACAGTTTTACAGATGTTGTAAGTGAAGGAAACAAATGCTAAACTGTGTTCCTAGGTTGTCACTTTCTTGTCTGTTTCATCCCAGTGTTTAAAAGCTTTAAGCTTTTGATAATTTTTGAAAAGTTACAGAAATCCCTATTCTATAGCCAAATTGTGAAGAAAAAAAGTGTTTACTTTGTTGAATTACCTAAATTATATTTAAAAATTAACATGAATAGTTTATAAAAAGTGTATGTTTTAGAACAACAACAACAAAAGATTGATTTATTTGAAAAGCAGAACGACAAACAGCTTCCATCGACTGATTCACTTCCCAAAAAGCTGCAGCACCCAGGTCTGGGCCAGGAGGAAGCCATGAGCCTGGAATCTCATGCTGACCTCCCACACAGATGGCAGGGGCCCAAGTACTTGGGCCATCATCTCTGAAATGGTAAGATTAGATATTACATATTAGATACCCTCAGATCCATTAGCAAGAAGAAGAATAAACTTGAACTGATGTTCTGGTATGGAATGCAGGCATTGCAAGCAGAGGTCTAACCCTCTGTGCCAGAATAGGCACCCCTACTCCAGAAGCATCATCTTAACTGCTGCACTGAACACCTGTCCCCATTTCTACAGCCTCTCTGCAGTATTCTAGGTATATATGATAGAAAGATTAAAGCAAACTAACATATCTATCACCTTATAAAGTTCATCATATTTTTGTGTTGGGAATGCTAAAAATATGTTTTTTTAGAAATTTTGAAATATGTGATACATTACTTTTAACTGTGGTCACCATGCAGATCATTAGAATTTATTTCTTCAGACTAACTAACTTTGTAGTCATTGATGAATGTCTTGCCTTTCCTTTTAGACAGTATAAAGATGGGTTTCTTTTTTTTTTTTTTGAAAAAAAGAAAAACGGGGTTTGTTGATTTTCTTTAACCTGCAAATAGTTGTCACAAAAAGGTTTTTTTTCTTTTAAATAAATTCACACAAAGAAAGAGAAATAGAAAGCAATGGTGGTGGCCAGCCAAAGGAGTAATTACATTCATCTTTGTATGTGTGCACACCAGTTCTGTTTACATCAACATCGGAAAACTCCACCCCTAGAATCCAGAACCTTAGCTCTGCCAGAGGAATGTTGGGATGGGCGTGTAGAAGTTAAAGGGTTTCTCTCGCTTAGCTCCCTTTCAGAAGGTACCCTGACAAGCTGGTTCCCTTCTGCACTGTCACAGAACTTCTGCATACATTCTCAGTCCTAGTCGTGAGAGGCTGAAAGAAACTGAATTTGCAGTCCAACACAAAGGGGGGAATTTCTAAAATACTCAGCAGACTCATAGAATGGCAGATGTCCTAAATAGCACTCTGGCCTCAGAATCAGCCCTAAAGGCATTCGGATCTGGCTGAAAAGCCCATGAGAGTATTTCAGGCATGGAAAGCCAAGACACTCTGGCAAAAGATCTCTGTGAGTGAGATCCCAGTGGAAAGAACAGGTCTTCAAAGAAGGAGGTACCTTTCTCTGAAGGGAGGAGAGAACCTCCACTTTGACTATGACCTTGTCTAAATAAGATAAGAATCGGAGAACTCAGAGGGCTTCCATAGCCTTGGAAACTCATGACTGGAGCATAGGGAGATTACTGATGCCATAGACAGGAGTGTCAATTGGTAAAGTCAACAACAGGAGTCACTGTGCACTTACTCCTCATGTAGGATCACTGTCCTTAATGTGCTGTGCATTGAGATTTAATGCTATAACGAGTACTCAAACAATATATTTCGCTTTGTGTTTCTATGGGGGTGCAAACTGTTGAAATCTCTACTTAATGTATACTAAACTGATCCTCTGTAAAAAAAAAAAAAAAAGAAAGAAGAAATTATCAACTCCCAACTTGACTCTCACTGGGATTAAACATGACAATAGGTCTGATCTGATTTCATCATCATTTAAAAAAATCATCTATTATTTTTCACTTTATGTTTCTGTGTGGGAGCAAACTGCTGAAATCCTTACTTAATGTATACTAAGCTGATCTTCTGTATATTAAGATAATCGAAAATGAATCTTGATGTGAATGGAAGGAGAGAGGGAGTGGGAAAGGGGAGGGTTGTGGGTGGGAGGGACGGTATGGGGGGGAAGCCATTGTAATCCATAAATCGTACTTTGGAAATTTATATTCATTAAATAAAAGTTAAAAAAAATAATCCAACAGGTTTTTTTTTGCATTTTTGAATTGATTTTTCATTTATTTAAAATAAAATAACCAAAAAAGTGTAAAGTTACAAAAAATGTTGTTTAAGAATAATATATTAAAACTGTGGACATAAAAAAGGGATGACACGTCACAAAATTTTAAGATTAATATGAAGATCATAATTTAACATAAAAATATATTCTATGGATTTGTCATCCTGATAAATATGAACAAAATTAACAAAAAAGGCATAGTCTGGCAACAAATACGTTTTTTGTTTTTTTCTTGATCACAGCAAAATATACACATTTATAACAGATACACTGTCGGGAGGAACAGGCTATTTCCCACAGGCCACAGCTCACAGTTTACTGAGCCTCCGGAGGAGGAATGTCATCACTCGGGGAAGGAAATCCACTCACAGGAAGGCTTCATCTGCACAATGAGTTTCCTGGTCGAGTCTTCTCGGGCAGCTGCGGGCTGACCCTGGTCTTTGACGATAGACAATGCATCCGGGTGCTGTTTTCATACCTATGCTCTCAGAAACAGCTGAGCCCTCGGGGGGTTGAACATGGCCTCCTAGGTCTGCAAGAATTCAGGCTGCACGCAGGCCACTTTCCGGAACTCCTTAGTGTGGGTCTTAGGGCACTGCATCTCACACCAGCTGATGGGAACCAGCTGGACAGTTGACTCACTATGGGCCACCACCACTCCCAGCTCATTTTCACCTGTGGTCAGCAGGTAGTTGGACTGGGTGTCACCTAGAGAGATCACTTTGGCCAAGACAATGTCCCCTGGACAGAAACTCTTGTATATTTCAACCTTGTCTTTTTCAGTGGCTGGAACATCTTCCTTCCGGATAGTTCCTCGAAAAAAGTTCTTAAGAGGTGTGGATCCCACGTAGAGGATGTGGACTTTGGCAAAACATGAATTGATGCTGGAGACCTTACATGTTACAATAGAGCCCACATCTGGAAGTAATTGGGATTCCGCTTCTCTCATCACAGACACTACCGGGAGCGCGCCGTTCTCGCTGGTCTTCGTTAGACAGCCGGCGAGGGAAGAAAAGATGTATCCGTGCTGTGTATAGGTGCCGCTGCCTGGGCTGCCTTCCTCCAAGTTACGCAGACGTTCGCCGGGGATGCAGTACCTTACGGGTGGCGCCATGACTACAACAAATACATTTTGATAAGTTAAATAAGCTTTTTTATATTGATGTTCAGCGACAAGCAAAATTCTTCAATTTCTAAAAGTTACATGAAGTTTAAATCCCAGGGGAAAAAAGCACGGTGTGGATGCTCTAAGGAGAGATCTACGGTATTCTAGAGCAAAACATCATTAATGCTACTTCTACAGGAAATCGCCTTACACAGATACTGTATGTGGAATGAATATCATTAACTGCTCACCCCTTACATGTTTTTTTTTTTTTTTTAGCTTTTCTCTCATTTTTTTTTGTTACTTTTTTCCGTAAAAGATGTCACATATGAACTGGGGAACTTTAGCACCAAAATCAGGTCTCTCATAGTCCACCTAGCGTCCCCTTCCTCCCCACTTAAAAAAAAAAAAAAAAAGAAAAAAGTTAAATCACAAAGTCCCACGGATGTCAAAATCTTCGTGTCCGCTTTTCCCAGCCTTCCTTCCTGCAGCATTAGCAAACCTGGGCAAGATTAGTCAACAGGGGCTCGGGATGGAAGGAAAAAGACTTTCAGGCATCAAAACCCAAGTTTGCCAAGAACAACTCTCCTGAGGCGGGGCGAGGGGTCCCGGGCAGGGAGGAAGAAATGTGTAGGAAGCTGAGGCAAGCGCAGGCGCAGCTCTGTCGCCAGAGTGGGGAGCTGCTAGTTCTGGGTCACCTCCCCCTCCCCCGGGCAGAGGCTCCGGGAGGCCCAAGGGCGCCCCCTGGCGCTGAAGAAGCAATATAGTCACAATGACAAAGTTCGGTTACAAGGCACTAAGTTGCTTCTATACACTGATACTGCTTTTTCTTTTGTGATTTAGCACTTAAGGCTTAAGTTGGAAACAGGCGTCCACTGACGAATATGTGACTTGTCTGTTATGCGCATTGAGTGGGCTGTGAAAACCTAGGGAGGGGGGGTTTCAAGCCAGAAGAAGCTACCGACAAATGGACTTGTCCTCATTTTAGGCGCGGACACCAGGGGGGCGGGGGGCACGGGGAGAGGCACTCCAAGGTTCCGGGTGTGTAGGGGCAGGGGTTGAGTTTAACCTTGCTGGGGGCCTCGGGCGGGTAGGGGGTCTGGGGGTGTGGGGTGGGGCGGAGCAGGCAGGGAGTCCCTCCCTACCCTGGCTTAGTCATCTGAGATGGAAAGTCTGCTGAAGATGGGCAGACGTCTTGAATTGTCCAAGCTAGGGAAATCGGAGCCACTGTGGCTGCTGCTGGAACTGCTCAGGTAGCCCTCGTGGTCTGAGAGCGAATCCTGAGGGCTGGGGGGCGACTCGGACATGGGCCGGAAGAGGAAGGCGGTCGGGGAGCCGCCGCCCGGCAGCCCCATGCTAGGGGCGAAGAGGTTCGAAGGCGAAGGGGTTATTGGTGCCGTCCGGCAGGGTAGGTGAGCCCAGGAGGTCATCGGCGCTCAGGATGGGGGTGGTGGTGATGGACGTGGGGCTGTCCAGCAGCCCCGAGGCGGCGGCGCCGGGAAACCCAGCAAAGCTAAAGCTATGCTGGAGGCGGGGGCGGTCGGCGGAGAGGTCCCGGCCCCGGCCAGGGCGCGGCGCTCCCCAGCGCTGTGGATGAAGTGGCAGCCGGCCCGTAGGGGCAGAAGCCGATGGTGTGGAAGGTGCGGCACAGCTCCGTCTTGTACCTGGGGCGGCGGGTCAGGCTGCGCAGCTCGTGGATGCCTGCTGGCACTTGACCCCGTACTTACAGGCGCCTTTCTCCTCGAAGGGGCGGCACAGCTCCGTCTTGTAGCGGCTCGAGTTGACCGGGCCGCTCCCGGGCTGCTTCTGCGTCGGCAGCAGTCGCTCGTCCCCTTCGGAGAAAGAGCGGTCTTGGAAGCTGCTGTCCCTGGAGCTCAGGGCCGCGGCCGGCTCGCCCTTGAGGCTGCTAAGGAGTTGGTTCTGGTGGAATTTGGAGCTGGGTAGGGTGACCGAGTGCCTCCGGGGGAAGCCCCCGCCGGCAGGGGTGCCCACTGCCTTTTTGTCCAGCAGGCAACCCGCGGTGCTGGGAACACTGTAGTTGATCATCTTGTTACCCTTGCATAAAATTTCGCTCAGGTCGAAGATGGTGGCAGACACGAGGGTGGTGGTCATCCTGAGAGCTCGCACGGGGGACAGAGGCGAGGGTCTGGTGCGTGGGAAGGTCTCGGTGCGGGGAAGGCGCAGCCACAGGCTCTGAGGTCCGGACTCCCGCGGGCCTGCTCCCAGGGCCCCTCGCCTGTCTCACTCTCCCTAAAGATGGACTTCTTGCCAACAATGTAGTTTGTCTTGCGTTTTATCTACTGCGACAATTTCTGTTTTAATTCTTGTGTTTAGAACATTGATGTGTAAGGTGATTATTGATATAGTTATATTAATAACTACCATATTTATTTTTCTATTTCTTGTCATTGTTCTTTATTACTATTTTGTCTAATATACTTGTCTGTATTTTATGGTCTCATTTGAGCATTTTACACTTTCATTTTTTCTTCCTTTTTTTTTTTTTTTTTTTTTTTTTTTGGACAGGCAGAGTTAAAGAGAGAGAGAGACAGAGAGAAAGGTCTTCCTTCCTTTGGTTCGCCCCCCAAATGGCCGCCACGGCTGGCGCGCTGCGCAGATCTGAAGCCAGGAGCCAGGTGCTTCCTCCTGGTCTCCCATGCGGGTGCAGGGCCCAAGCACTTGGACCGTCTTCCACTGCCATCCTGGGCAACAGCAGAGAGCTGGACTGGAAGAGGAGCAACCAGGACAGAATCCGGCACCCCAACCGGGGCTAGAACCCCGAGTGCCGGCGCCGTAGGCAGAGGATTAGCCTAGTGAGCCATGGCGCCGGCATTTTTTCTTCCTCTTTAGCATATTATACTTTTTAATTTCTTTAATATAGGTGCTGTAGAGTTTGCAGTAAGCATTTACATGTAATTTAAATCCATTTTGTGAATAACACTATGCCACTTGACACATAGTGGAGGCTACTTCATGATTTCAATATATTCCTAATTCCATCCTCCAATTCCTTCTATCATTCTCTCATCTATACGTGTGTGTATAGACATGCATAATGAATAAAATTAGCCCATTTCAGAGTAAGTATAAAGTTTTTTCTTATTCTTTCTCTGGCGTTCCTTTTCTCTTTATGTCCATTTGAATTTCTGACTGCTTTCCTTCTCTAGGAAGAATCTCCTTTAATAGTTCTCACAAGCCAGATCTCCTAGAAACAAATTCCCTTACTTTTTGTTTGAGAAAGTTTCTGTTTCTCCTTCATTATTGAAGGATACTTTCACAGGGTATAGAATTCTAGTTTGGTTGTTTTCCTTCAACACTTGAAATATTTCACTTCACTCTTGAAGAGAGGTTAGATGTAACTTTTATTCCATATGGTTTGTTACTTAAGGTTTCTCTTTCCTCTGTAGTTTTCCAAGGTTTTTTCCTGGGTATTTGTTTTTTTGTGGGGCTTGAATACGATATGTGGCCAAGGTGTATTTTGTTTACATTCATCCCACTCAGTATTCCTAGATGTGTGGTTTGGTGTCTGATGTGGATTTGGACAAGTTCTCTGTCATTGTTTTTTCAAACATTTCTTCTTTCCAACTTTTTTCCTTCTGATGTTCTTATTACATGTAAGTCACACTTTTTGTAGTCCCCTCAGTTCTTGGATAGTCTTGTTTTGTTTGTTGAGGTTTTTTTTTCCTTATTTTTGGGAAGTTTCTACTGAAATATCCTAAAGCTTGCAGATTCATTCTTCAGCCATGTCCAGTCTGCTAAAGAGCACATCAAAGGTGTTATTCCTTTGCATTGCTTTGTTTTGATCTCAATCATTTCTTTTTAATGCTTTCTTATAATTTCTCTGTTTTTGTAATTATCTATCTGTTCTTGAGTGTTGTGTATTTTTTTCTATTGAAGTCCTTGTCACAGTCTTTTTTTTTTTATAAGTTCTGTTCTTACAATTCCAACATTCCTCCTATATATGACTCTGGTTCTGATGCTTTTTAGTCTCCTTAAATTGTGACTTTTGCCCTTTAGTAAGCCTTGTAATTATCTTTGAAAGGTAAGCATGTTGTACTGGGTAAAAGGAATTATGGTAAATAGGCCTGTAGTAGTAGTAGTAAGGTCTAAGGGTAGGAGAACCAGTCTATAGTTGAATGATTAGCATTCAGTCTCTTGAAGAGCTGATACCCCTGGATTGAATTTCACCAGTGCCTCTCAGTACCCCCCCCCACACCTTTATGTCAGACAGAATGACTAGAGGCGCTGCAGTTATGCATTTCCTTTCCATATGTGGATAGCTAGAAGGTGTTGGAATTAGGCATTTCCCTATCCCCAGGTAGGTCAAGCTCTAATACAGTTCTAACAGGTTAGGCTTTGATGAAATAAGTTCTCCTGAGGGTAGAGCATGTTAAGAATAGAATGCTCTGCAGTATTTCAGAATTGTTGGTTTCCCCATCTTCTAGCCATCGGCATTGATATTCACTGCCTGTTTTTCTGCCACATTCCCTGGGAAGATCTGGTAGAGCTCCTAGAGGTAAAACTCACAAAGGTTTGTGGACCACCACATGGTTGGGTGGCCCAGGAATTTTTGCTCACAGTTGTCCACACTGAGGCTCCAGCAACTAGTCAGTTACAGTTGAGGCTTTGCAATCCTGGCACTGTCAGAATTTTCTGCTCTAGCAAGTTGAGTTTCTCTGTATCTGTCACTGCAATTTTTGGGGGAGTGATTCATGTTGTGACTGGTGCTTTTCTGACAAATTTAAGATGAACAACAGATTGGCTGGCCTTTCAAATTATTCAGCTTTTGACTTGTTAGGACAGGGTGGTGACTTTGAAGTTCCTTCATGTGCTGTACCAGAAATTGGAACTTAGGTTTTTTGAAAGCATGAATCACAGCTTACTCATCTCTTTACATCCCCTTATGGAATTTGCATCATGCCTCTCAAATAGTTGGTTCTCAATGTGTACTTTACCTAAACTTCTCTGTCATCATTTCAAATGTTGAAAATCCCTGATGGTTTGTTCTC